AACATCCAAGTCCTATTCCTGTATACCTGTATTTCAAACTAATTATTGCAAAGACATGCCAACATACAATGTACTTCTAAGTATTACTGAAAATAGAAGTGGCCAAAAATATAAGCAATGGACCACAAATGTATATGGAGTCTTTGTTCCTAAAAAACCCCCTACCATAACTAATGGCATAGGCAATCCTTGTAACCTCCTCTACTGAGCCTCTGAGTCTGAATTGTTCTCCCATTTCTTGGTACATTGTCACAGGCAGCACTGATTTTCTGCCCTTCTTGGTGACTGCTGAACTCCAAGTTCAGGAAGCCTTTTGGATTCAAACTTGTGCTCCATTTTCAGGAATAGCAACAGTGTAGCCGGAGCAGCTTTTGTTGCAAGACAGCAAAGAGCCAACGAACCACCCAAACACAGGCAAGGTGTGCAGCACTGTGCCAGAAGACACAGTCCTTTCTGGTAATATCTTTTCCTAACAGTTATGATCTAATCTATACCTATGGAGTTTTGCTTATTGTTGATACTTATCACTGTGCTCTCAAATGCTTTAACAGTTGCAAGTCCTCAACAAAAGGCAGTCTTATCTGCACAACCAAGAAACCGTTCATCAGTAACAACTAAAATATTTTACATTTTTAATAAGGATAAAGAATACACTAACATACTTGCCAATTCCAATTTCCCCAGTTACAGTTGGCATATTGCTGATGAGATCCCCAGTGCAGCAAGATCCTGCCCTACAGCCAGCGAGGGACATATCCATGTCACCTTTGGATGAAGCCAGAAGCAAGTAGAGTGTAGCAGGGCTGGGGTATGATCCTGGCATGCATGGTCTCACACTGCTGAGGAACCAGCTCACAGCCAGTTCTCAGCAGGTACCCAAGCTTGGTGAGCGACAGAACAACACAGAGTCACCATGTGCCAACTGGTGGTATTTGATGATGCCTCTGCAGTAAGTTACTCTACTTAATAAATTCAGCTGTGCCAGCAAAAATGTTTTTTGGTGGTACACAGTGTATCTGCAAAGAGAATTTACTTGTAAAACTGCATTAACAAACACTCACCAACACAAAATTTGCCCAAGCTAAGTGCTTAGGAGGTACAGCTACAGTTCTGCATAACCTATAAAACCCAAAAAAACCCCAAACACAAGTGCTATGAATTATTTCCAAATAAGTACTTTTAAATACAGTAATTGCAGTGATGCTTATAAAAGTTACTAATATTTCAAAATATTGCTGCTTTGCATATTAAATAATTTCTACTGCACTTGTGCGAATTAGAAACAAAAATCTGGACAGTCTTTAAAGAAATTAGTTTTTAATACAGTACAGAAACTAAATTTTCTTTCTTTTACCAAGCTGAATCAGTGTCATAATTTACTTTCCCTAACTTTGGTAAATAATTTTCTCCCTGAACTTCATAAACGATTAAAACCAGTCCAATTAGGTTACAGACAAAATACGCATTTTAAAATACAGAAACTTTAACTGAAGCAGTGACTCATCACCTGTTGCATCTCTCTAAATTTACTTCACAAATTCTATTACTTCAGGGTCGTCTGTCATTTCTGGAGGGAAGAGAAATACTTGATTGAAAGATCCAACTAAATAAAAGCCACAGGGGGGCTGTTCAGCTCCTGTACAGGTGTTGCCCCCAGTAACGTGACTGGCAGTCAGACACACCTGCATGGGTGAGAGAACTGCATACAAAGAAAATATTTAAGTTGATTAGTAGTCAAAAGGCCCCTTAGATAACCTGATAGTCCTGCTGCAACCTCTTCAGAGTTTCACCCTATTTAGTTTCAAACACGTGCCTCAGCTGTAAATCATTCAACGGCAGCATGCTGCATACAGGTCCATGAGTCACTGGGGGGAAAAGTTAGACTGATAAAATCTCACTTTTTTAATGTCTTCCAACATCATAATAAACCCTAAACTTTTTATAATTAGTTATGTTATATTCAGTAAATGATGTTTATGTAATTAAACACTCATCGATACTGTGGGCAAAGGAAAGCCACTGGGAGAATGCAAACTGCCAGCTGAAGCCTTGCGTTCAACAAACGTTGTGCTGCCCCGGGATTTGCCATGTGCAAAAGCCCAGTAGAAATTCAGGCAATGCATGAGTTGCTTCCCTATCACATCTCTCGAACATTAAACTGTTACAGCAAGATCATTTCATTTTCAGTTGCTTGCCTCCTCCCCCATTTATCTCTCAGTACACCTCTCTGAGTTAATTGCTTTTTAAACATTGCTCACACTTAACATTCAGACTCAGCCGATACCATTTACTCCCCAATAACACTTGATGTTCAGAGTAAAACACATAATTATTGTATAAAAAGTTGTACAAATATGATTAAATATGAGGTGGAAACTTGTCCCCTCCTGCAATTAATTTTACAACATACATGCCCTAATTAAGCTTCAAGCCCCCAGTTTTTGCCAGCATTTTGAATCTTTTTTTTCTCCTGTTCAAACTACAGCTACATGAAAGGCACTTGTCAGCATTATCACAGCAAACTCTCAGTCTTTATGGAAAAGTTTTCTTGAAACTTCCTTCACTGAAAACATGTACAGTCTGCAATCTTTTGCTGAAAGCTTCTGTAACTCCACAGACTTCCAGGAGCTGAACAGTTAGTTCTTCATGTGACACGGCTGAACATCACTGCTGGTGTTTTCACTACCTATGGATTAGCCCACCAGTGATTGCACTGCACTGTGTGTATCAGACACGCGGGTTGGTACCAGGGCTCAACACGTGGGTAACAAAGAAGTGGCTTTAGTACTAGTATTCAGTATTCTGCTCTATCAGCTGATGTATCGCCTCCCTGAAGCTCCTTTATAAAAGAAGGAAAACAAATAAAACCTATGCTTAGACAAGGCAACACTATACCTCTGTTCTCTGATAGTACAGTGCAAAACTTTGCACACATTTTTTCTTAATTAATGTGTGTGAAATCAGGACTTCCCCAGAAACTAAGCAAATCCATGCTGTCTAAAGGTGTGTGGGGGAGGGAAATATAGTATTTTTCACCTAAAAAGAACTGGTCAATATTTCCCCCAAACAGCTCTTACCAACCCCCAGCAGTGTTTGCTGTGTACACTGTCTCATACCACAGGCTCAAGTAGGAGCAACATGTTTGCTTTTGTTCCGCTAATGGCCACAGGAAAAGACGACTGCAGGAATTATCATCAAACGGGAGCATCATTATCTTGAAACTGTTTACCCTCTCAGGAAATGTAAATTTTATACTTACCTCTGGCTAACAAGACACTCATGTTTTCATTGCAAAGTTTGGGGTTAATTATTCTTGAAAAATATAGATTTTTTGGGAAGAACTGATGTTGTAAGATGTTCTGGTTTTAGTTCAACAGGATAATACTGACTTTCTTACCTTTTTAATTGATCTCCCATGTAGTACTTTGGGTCATTGCTGACCTGGAAGCAGGTCAGGTACTAACTCTATCTTCTCTACAACATTTGCATCTATTTCCACAATCTCTGTTCTAGGTCAGGACATCCATGCCTTATAAAGTGTAACTATGAAATGGCCATTCTACTTTCTTGATTCAGACAGCAGAATCAAGAAATGCAGAAATTGAGGCAATACCAAAGTTCAAACATTCTGAGTGTGAGCCTACTTCTCACTTTAGAGCAACCAGCTCTAAGCTGAAGTGGATGCCACAGTACACGGCAGATTCAGATACACGACTGGTAAGTGGTCCCAAACTTTAAGTAGTTGGCACATTATTTGAAGCTTTTGAAAATCTTGCTAGATACTGATGGATCCCTCCCACTTACCACAGCAGAGGGGCTGAGAAAATTTAATCATAAACTACCTACAAACTAATCTTTTTATAAAACTGGTAAAATGACAGATGCCTTCCCCTACATTATTTAATTGGAAGTGGTAAAAGAGATATGGAGGAAAAAAAAGAAAGCATGTCTAGGAAACCATGATCAAAACCAGTTATAGTGGCTCGACAATTTGCTTCTGCTCTTTGTCCCAAGCAAACCAGTCAGTGTCTCATGGAGTGGGCATATATCACCCCTTCCAAAATAAATAAGCAACTAAGCTATGCTAAAGCACTGCCAAAAATATGCATACAGCATCAATGCAGCAGGGAAGAGAAACTTAAGCTTGTAACAGATGCTGCAACTAAAACAAAAAGAGCTGCAAAGCTACTCTTCCTTTCACCCCAGAAGTAAATTGTTTAAGTGTAATTAATGATCAGTTTATTAAATAAACATCAGGCTTTTACATCATAATTCTCCTAAAATCCTCAGCTGTTACATAACACTTAAGAGTGAATTTACATGGGAGACTTTGATTCTGAAACATCAATATTCATTTATCCATCAGGGACCCAGTAGGATAGCTTACCACTCCTTTTAAAGTCAAACACAATGTGATTTTACTTACTCTTCAAGATTAGTTCAGTGCATTTGCACTTTTGTATGTCAGGCCTGTTTTAAAGACTCACTTTCAGAAGTCCCTGGAACGCACTGCATTTATCACAGCAACAAAGCCACAGGAAAGATCTTTTTGAGCTTTTTATGCTTGCCTTTTCCCCCCTCTCTTTGTAAAAGTACAGTACTTTCTAGCATTCTTTTCACAGCCACTTTTCACAGATCAACACTGCAACAAAGGCAATCCATTTCATCACATTTACCGAATTCTTATTGTGATGAGAGACTATAGATTTGTCAGTGAAATGCTGAAGTTACTACTGTCTGTGAATAAAACCTGCTGTAATACAGTGCAATGCAAATAGTTAATCCTAGCTAGTTTGCAGAACACAGCTAAAACAAGCCCGTTCTCGGTGGTGACATCGTCAAGCTTTCTAGGGTACCATCAGACACCTCAGTTTCAGTACTAGGAGAGAAAAAAACCCCTCCAAGTTAGTCTTGAAAACATCAAATCCACAGTGCAGCAAAGAATCACAGGTTTTATAGTTCTTTCCACTAACTCAGAGAACACACGCAAAGAACAAAATACCACCCTGTCAGCTTTGAGAGAGCCGTTATGCTCTGCTACCCATCAAGGCAGAGAATGATTAAGTCTTGATTCCTGGTGCCAAAGACTTCAGATAAAAAAGCGAACCATTCATTTCCAGCCATGATAGCACTTAGCAAAGCAAGTGAGGGAACCAATAGTAAAGTATACTTGGCTACTGAAGTTTTTTGTGAATTGCTTGGAAGTAAGATTCCTTTCTACTGTAATGTAAAAAAATCCATTACATGGAGGCACCAATAGATATGTATTCATCTGAGGTTTGCAGGGCTTCATGAAGAAGGAAGGAATACTTAATTTGGATGACAAATCATTCCACAAACATTATAAATCCTCCCAGTAGTAAATATTTCAGATTTCAAGAGCCAATTAGAAAGGTCAGCATTTATCTTTTTGTCTGTTTCTAGCCTTAATAACTTTTGCTCTCTGCTTGTAGATTAATCATTGAAGTGAAAGATACAGAGGTTTATAAATAGGAAAAAAACCCCAGGCATAATAAGAGAAGGTTCAGACTGGACAAAAATTATCTCTACCTGTTCTGATTTTGATGACTATAGCCTACCTTAATCCAAAATCTAATTATTTGGATTAGATTAGGACAGTGGATCAGTGGATTTTCCTGAAATGCCCAGGCAAACCACACGCAATTTTGTATTTGGGGCACAGGGTTGCATTTCATTTCCAAATACCTTTTAATTCCACACAGGTATTTATAACTTCTTTTTCCCATGGCAGGAAATATTTGCCCTCTGCAAAAGTTTAAAAAACAAAAATCAAAATCCCAGCTTCTAAACCTAGTAGAAGACTGCTCTTTGGCTCTCATTATTATTCATTTGCTGTGCCTGGAATCATTGCAATTATAACAAATCCAAGAAATTCTACTGTTTTTCAAGTGAGAAGTATTTTGCAGGGGGAATTTTTTTTTTTGAGGTGTTATGTGCCTATGTTCCACAAAAAGGCACAGTAGCAAATAAAATATCAGCAGTATCCATCTCTTCCAGTGCATGAGATCATCCCACCCAAGACACAGAATTTGGGATGGTATGAAGAAGCAAGGATGCCTACAAATCAGACTCATGTATGCAAAGAAAGCACAACTGACAAGATGATGAAAAACATGCCTGCCATGTAAATATTTTCTGATTACTAAATGGGAACCTTGTTTCTACACCTACAATAAACAGACAACCAGATCCACCTATGACAGGTTTAACTCATCCAAACTGGTTCATGGATAAGTTTGTTCAAGCAGTCTTCATGAAGAAAAATCATTAATAAATAAGTAAAACTCCTTAATTCCTATCAAAAATTTTCTTTTAAAACTGATGATTTCTTTCTGTATTCGTGAGTCAGACTTCTCCGTCTCAAACTGTTCACCTCTACTGATTCGCAAACATTGCTTGTTCCTTCTCGACATAATGATATCCAAAATGCATTATTATGAACAAAATAAAAACAATTCTCCAAAACTATCAACATATATAAAACCCCTTTGCTTAAAGACAGTATATAATTTGGACTGTTCGCTTCAGTACAGTTCTTACAGGCTGAGCAGGCATGTACAACTCACAATTTACTTCCAAAACATCCCCTTAGGAAAAGATCCTCAGAAAGATTTGCTAAATGCTAGTTCGTACACTATGTGTTTTAATTAACGTACAGAATAGAAATTACCATTTAGATAAGATAATGCTCCCCAGCCACCCCACCTTTGCTTTCTGAAACTTTGCCAGGTTTCTCAGCCCCTTATCCACTCGTTATTTATTTCTAGCAATCCTCAGGCCCTGGTTAGCATTAATTCAGCTGCAGTTGGAGAGTTTCTCCAAGGCAGTCTCTTCAATTCCAAAGTGCATGAACTACTTAATTTGAGTGCTCTGTGATTTGAGGGCTTTAAACAGAGAAAATACTGCGGGAAATGAGAGCTCATACTTGCTTACGAGACTGCTCCAACAGCTGTATGGACACAGTGAGCTGCACACATATTTGCAGCCTCAACTGCCAGTACAGACACCCACGGGACAATACCTGAGATATGCTTAGTCTCCTGACAGAAATTTCAGAGTTCATATGCCAAAGTTCAGGAACCCACAGCAGAAGGTGTCACTGGGGTTTGAAACATGAAAGGTAGCCCAGCTCTTACACAGCAGCTATGCCTGCAATAAGGAATCATACAGACTACCAGAGATAAAAAGATACTCTTCTCTAGTCATGGAAGTGCTAATGGGATTTATAACCTCTTCTCACAGATAATGCATTATTCCCCGATTCCTTTCCCCGCTCCTTGGTCATGATGCGCACTTTCTCCTTTGTCCAAGTGCAGAAGTTCTTTCACCCCCTGTAACACCTGCCTATTTCTGGCCCTCTGTGAAGCAGTCTCGCTGTAAATGTCCATTACCAATAAAGAAAACCTGTGGCAAATTTCCTACCAAACTGAGAGACCATGCAATTTTTCATTCATTGGAAACTCTGTGTCCAAAATGTACAGGCAGATACTTAATAATCTTGGAGCACGCTTCTGGACTATGATGGGAATCTCTCTCAAAGTGGATTTTAAAAAAGTATGCAGGAATCAAGGAGGAATCAGGGATCTTGTGGCTTCTGCCACACCTGATAGGTCCAAGCTCGCTCTGAAGAAGTTGCTCAAACTCTTCATTTAAGCCAGGGGTGCTAGTGCTCACCCAAACCCATGAAAAGGGGTGCTTTGTGATTTGACAATGCTTTGAAGTATTTTGAGAGTGACAAGTGCTGTATGGGGCAACTGCTCAGTTATTATCATGATCCAAGTAATTTATCACTCCTGAAAAGACTCCATAGTTTTTGAGAATAACAAAAAAGATCTACGGGGTCCTATTTAGACATGTTACATTTAGACGCTGGATACCACAGGGCCAAGGTCTCTCATTTCGATTTTCTGCCAAGTGCCATACCACACCTACAGAAAAGCACTGCCTGAATAAACTTAGGTACCATATACTATACTTCTATTAGAGTGACAACCTTATAAAATCTTAAAAAATGCAAATGGATTTCCTTGATAACAGAACTGACCCAGGGTTTCAATTTCGGTGAATGAAATAATAAGTAATGACACCAGCAACTGCAATGGGCAGAGGCAAGGGGAACAACCCACCGACTAAACAACTAAGTAACAGAATAATCTTTTTTTTAAATGGATACCTCAGTCTCTGTCTGAGCAGAATAAAACTTTTAGAATGTGTGCTCAAGAGTTCCTTTTTTTATTATTCTTTTGAACACTTCAGATAATACAATATACAAATTCATTCAATCTCATATAGAATTGGCAAGCAGAATGCAAAAGTGTGATAGAATTGAGTCCAGATTTTCTTACACATACAAATAACAAACCTAAATGAAAGTTGTGAAGCTAGCAGAACCAAAAAAACCCAAATCCAACTCCACCCACCAAAAAAGGTGAAGCACTTAAAAGCTTTCAGTAGATTTACTGTAGTCCTCCAAATCTCAGTTTCCACAATTAATACACCGAATAAAGCAAGAGACAAATGGAAAAAAAAAAAAACCAAGTTAAGCAATTTTATAATAAGAGGATCGGTATCCTAAAGTACACATAACAGGAGAGCTGAATTAAAATTGCGTGGAAAGATATAAGCTTATTTTTTCCAGCCTGTATTTGACTTGCAGGAGACAAATCACTACCAATAGCTAATTAATGTAACTGACAGTCAGCTTTGTCAGTAGAATGCATTATGGCAGAAGAGCAGCCTGGCGGAGTTCAGCAAGTGTAGAAGAAATATGACTTGTGAAACCACCACCACAAAGCAGTGCAGTGAAAGCTGGGATGAATCTTTGTGTTGGTATAACAAGAAGAGCATGTCAAAATCTTCTCAAACTTCAGCATTTGTTCTAAATTCATGAGAATTAGCAAAATCTTGAGTCATTTAGGAAACTTAGTGCTTGATGTAAAACTGTTCCTTGTCTGCTCAGGGAATCCAAGCAGAGAAAAAAAGTATCCAAATTCTCAGAAAGGTGACAGATGCAATGGGGCATTTCTAAAGACATCTTTAATATTAACCATAGTTTACTCCAATTAGTCCCTATCAGCTGGTTTCTCCTTTCACAGATCTCAGAGTGCTTTTCAAATTGCCTCTTTTCAAAACAGTAGCTGCTCACAGGAACTATGGGATCAAACCAACAGACTGCTTCCTTTCACAGAGGCCACCTTGCCCTGCCCCTCGAAGGGGCCTCCTGGCATCAGGCAGATGAGGATCACCACCCTTCCCAAGGAGCGACTCCCCTAAGCGGCCAGACTCATGGCCAAAGGTAACTGCTGCTTTCCAACAAGTGAGGACAACAGGAAACTCTTGTTTATTATTTTGCATGCAGCTTGCATACCTGAAGGTACTTATCATACAGGCTTTTTTTGCTGCTGAATGACAAAACGTCATGCCTGCAGGGAAGAACTTCTACAGGCTTCAGCTTGTTGTCTTCCTATGTAAAGTCAGCAGTCCATTTTCCTTCCTGATTTTTTGTTAATAAATACCGAAGAAACAACATAAATGAAGAATTCAGGAAAGCTGAGGTTGAAAAAGTGACCTGTAATAAGACAATGCCTCAAGTCTGTTGGGTGCTGCACCAGAACACATCAGGCAGTGCAGGTGGCCGTTTTAACTAGCACAGACATACAAGTGGAGGCTCACCATGCCAATTACTGCTGCCACACAGTGATTCATGCACTTCATGTGCCTTGATAAGAATATTCCAACCTTCAATAAAATTATTTGTGTAGCAATATATGTACAATAACCTGAAACATGTGGAAAGTGTGGTAGAGGGGTTGCACATTTACAGACACAGTTGCCCCCGTGAGTTCAGAGTTCAAAATGAAGCCACAGCTAGATGTTTCAAACCCAAGTTTTCTAAGGCAGCAGACAGGCAGCACGAACTGCTGAAGCTCCGCTCTTCTCTCGGGACTCTTGGCCAGTCACTACAACACTTGGGTGTGCCCCAAACTGCAGGTGATGGGCTGTTGTACTGTGCACATCTGTATTTGTTCAGATACACTAAAAAAAAATGCACAAAAAACCCAACCCATAAACCAAATCAAACCTAAAAAAGATGCCTTTAGTTAGACTAGTAATTTACTAGCATCATCTTGAGCTATTTTACTCAATCTCTACATTGTTAAACAGCTGTTCAGTGGTCTTCTGTACTAGCAAATCTCCTTCTGAACCTTTATATTTAATGTTCTTCCTAAAATACATATTTAAGAATTGTTGTTGCGGTTAATCACAGAGAAAGTGAAGTATCAGTAAAAAACTCAGCAATGTTTGTTTTATCATCTTTGCTGGAAGAGTTTAATGTATATCACTCTTCAAGAAAAACATATCCATGTAGACAGAGGGGGCATCTCTAAAGATAGCAGTCAAATCATGGAATGTTTACAAAATAATTCATGATGTCACAGACCTATAAGCCCTTGCAAGTCTGGCAAAAGAGTAACTGCTCATCCTAGGAACAAAATTTCAGAAGGATTAATTTCAGAAATCTTCCAGTAAATTATGATCCTGTCCTTCAGAAGTAATTGGAGCCCTGCTAGCCCCATCGTGACTGAACTGAAAAGCCAGGGAGTCGTGACCTTGCAGTACCGTGTGCTTACTATGTTCTGTCCCCATCCAGTTCTGCCATGTCTCATTTCTTCCTTCCAGCATTAAGCTGTTCAACAGAAGTTATGAGGAAATTAAGGGTTTGCTGGGTATTTTGAGTATCAATTTGAGTAGAAGTGCCTTTTTGTATGAAACTACATGCTGAGCACTCATGTTGTACACAAGTTGCCTTGTCAGTGATTAATACCATCAAAATCACCAAGAAAAGTGTCAGTGCTGTACTCTGTGACAGTCATGTCAAACCTTTACTCAGACATCAATTGACATGTTTCAGGCTTCATCTTCTTACAAATAATACACTGGCTTCATTTGCTCAGGAAGGGTAGAAAGAGCTGTATTTGTGCAAGACATTGTAATCAATTTAAAGCAGCAGCTAAGTTACAGACACAATAAAAGGAACTATCTAGAAAAGCCAAAAAGCAAAACCAAATAGCCAGAACAGCTCCCAGACTGATAGTAACTCAATAAAACAAATAAATGAAATTCTCCAATTTCTTAATCGATCATGCATCTGGGTCAGCATTTGCTATTCTACGCTTTCAAATCACATACTAACTTCTACAAGAAGTTT